GAGCATGGAAGGGTGGCTGTCACAATCACACCGTTCCTTACCAGCGATGCGAATCATCGCCTCAGCATCAGTGATGCCTCGGTTTCCTCTTTCGAGAATGTCCTTCTGGTACTCAGACGTGTGCTTGTGCCACATTCACCGCCTAGTCAGCAGAGCTACTCAAATGCCGTGATGCTGGAGCATCAGGCAAGTTACAACACCGCTGGAGCGTGGCCATAAACGAGGTTGTTTATTCCTTCTGCTTTCTTGTCTTCAGCAACGTTTTCACGCCTTCTAAAGTTGTGCCACTTCTCGTTCAGGCACACAAACGCACTGCCATAGGAAAGGAGGAGGCCAAATCAACCAAACACTGGTTCGACAAAATGACTGTCCCTTGTCACAGCTGTGTGAGCACTAAGTTGGCTAGTTGTTCTTTTCACTAGGGGATTTTGGCCTCCGGGTTGAGGAGAAGGGGGAAATAGCGAGTGGTGAAACCGTAGGGATGACTCTCTCCACCTCCTCCTCCTCACCATTGCCAAGACATTGCCCAACTCTCCATCACCTCCCGCCCTATCCTGAGAGGTGGCTGAGGGACAACGGTGTGGTGAATACCCACCCACACACACCAACGTTCACGCTGTAGTAATTAAGTGGGTCAAGAAAACCAATTTCACTTCATCGTCCCAACAGTGTGTGTGTGTGTGCGTGTGTGTATGGAGGCTGCAGGAAGGCGCAGAACACCGAGCTGATGAGACATCTTTGGGAATGAAGGCAGTGTCTGCTCATGAGAGGCCAGAACCATCTGCTTTGGGGGCGAGTCACTACAATGAGATGCCTCCAGCTTCTTGAGTGTTGTGAACCGCAGGGACAGTTGATGAGGTGAAAGTATAGAGAACACTCAGTAGGCATTAACAGCCAGCATGAAGTTGCGGGTCATCGGGTGGCGCTTACGTACATGTACACCACGCCTGATCTCATTTCACCTCCTCTTCAATGCACTTTTGTGGCGTGCGCTTAGTGCTGAAAACTTCTTTCCACTCACAAAATAACCTTTAATAGTGAGTGAAGTTAGTTTGGTTGCCAAGTTGAACACTCGTTCCACTGATCGTCCATAGACTTGTCTGTGGGGAATATGTCCAGCATGAGACAAAAGTTGGGGTGGTATTGCGTCACCTCAAGTAACAATCCAACATCCACTGATCATGTGCTATTGCAGACGTCCGTCCTCCTCTCCATGCTGCTTGTAC